TTTTTTTTTTTATTATTTTCTCTATCTTTTTGGTGGTTTTCTCTAGGACAAAAGTTTTATCTTCTACATCAGAGATTTGATCTTCAGCATGGTCTAATCAACTTTTAATACTTTCAAGAGAGTTTTTTTTTCCTGTATTACTGACCTCACCTCTAATAGTTCCATCTGATTCTTTCTTTTTTTTTCTTTCTTCCTTTTTTGGAGAGGTTTTTGCTATAGGGCGTGTGCGCTTGCCAGACAGACAGAGAGAGACAGAGAGACAGAAAGCAGGAAATCACCCCCCAGGGGAGATGGCCACGCCGCAATCCCTTCTCCTCCATTCTCCTCTTGGGATCTTGGGCATGCACGCACATGTGCCCGGCGTGATTTTAAGCCACCGGGTCCGGGACTCGGACCGCGGTTGACTACATGGGAGTCCAGCGACATAGCCATTATGTTAACTGCTGGTCCCCATCTGATTCTTTCTTAGAGTGTCATTTCTTCTTTCATATCATGTAAAGACTTTCTTCTTTCCTGTAGTTCATTGTCTCTTTTCTCTTCCAACTCATAGAATTTGTTCATCATGAATGTTCTAAATGCTTTCTTGGACATTTTGGAAACGTCCTCTGTTTTTTCAAGAAATGGAAGGGAGTCACTGTATTCTTTTAATGGAGACATACTTCCTGCTTTATTCAGTCCTGGGACTCTTCTTCTACTTCTAACCATTGGGAGATATGTTCCCTTTGGAATACCTTTTAAGAGAACATTTTCTTGAATAGGAGCAAGTGTGTTTCCCTTTTGCTATGGACTGGAGACTGCTGAAGTCTCTCTTCTGTTGTGTTTAGCAATGTGATCCAAGGGGGAGTATTCTATTCAGGTGTATGAAGAAAGATATCTCCTTTTTCACAGGTTGTTCAGTAAAAGGGAGGATCCCAGAGAGTCTTAAAATACTAGAATTTTTCAGACCTGTAATTCTAGACCTATCTAGACCATCCAGGAAGGTGGAGATGAAGGAAGAGAGGACCAAATAAGTGGGAAAAAAATAATAAGGAGAATAAAGAAAAAATCGTGCACTGTGCGCGATTTTGCCAGGGGTCTGACGATGGAAGTGTGGTGGCTGTAGAGCTAAGGACGTTCCTGTGTGGCAAGGATAAGTGAGAAATTTACAATGAAAGAGAGGAGAAGGAAAGAAAAATCCTACCTGGCTGACAGAGATAGGGGTCTCTGGCTTGGGGGTCCTGGGGCTCTAGCTGGGCAGGGAGCCCTGCCTCAGAGTCCCTTATGCCAGGGGTCTGAAGATGGAAGTGGGGTGGCTGTAGAGCTGAGGGTGTTCCTGGCTAACAGAGACAGGGGTGTCTGGCTTGGGGGTCCCAGGGCTGGAGCTGGATAGGGAGCCCTGCCTCAGAGTCCCTTATGCCAGGGGTCTGAAGATGGAAGTGGGGTGGCTGTAGAGCTGAGGGTGTTCCTGGCTAACAGAGACAGGGGTGTCTGGCTTGGGGGTCCCAGGGCTGGAGCTGGATAGGGAGCCCTGCCTCAGAGTCCCTTATGCCAGGGGTCTGAAGATGGAAGTGGGGTGGCTGTTGGCTGACAGAGATAGGGGTGTCTGGCTTGGGAGGTCCCGGGGCTGCAGCTAGGCAGGGAGCCCTGCCTCAGAGTCCCTTATGTCAGGGATCTGAAAATGGAAGTCTACATGCTGTTATTTAATATGAGCCCTTGAATATTTGGAAAATGTCAGTAAAACTTACTTTTGTCTTAAAATGCTGTTCTTTCTAAAAAATAATTAGGTAGTTGTACCTTCAGGCCATCTCTGCTTTGAGAAATAAAACATTATCATTGGGCAAGAGGAAACATTTCTTTTTTTGATGTCAGGGAAATATTTAATGATAGAAATACATAGATTTTCTTTTTTTCTTTGTTAGTAGGTACAAGTAGTCAAGTTTCTTCCTTAAGGAGACCCGAAGAGGATGATATGGCTTTCTTTGAAAGACGATACCAGGAAAGGGTAGGTTTTTGTCCTCAAATATCTAGGTTTTTGTAATCATTAGGCATTTTCTTATAACAAAGACATTGCAAAATGATTATATGTTGAATGTGGAACATCATTAAAAATAATTTTTAGGGCCATCTGGTTGTATGGTGGTGAAGACAGTTTTATTCTGTATGGCCAATTGTATGGTGCAAGTCCTGGGCATGGTAGCTTGAAAAACATACTGGACACATGTGTATACATGCCCAAAATTCCAAAAGGAGGGTGAAATGGAGGAGAATGGATTGCAGTGTGACCATTCTCCATGGAGACTGATGTCTTACTTTTTTTCTCTTTTTCTCACTTTCTCTGGTGAGCACATGTGCACTCTGGCAAACCAAAAACATTTATAGAGTCTTTACTTACAGCTGGTGTTAGGCCTTTAGTATTACTTAAACCATACAAAAATAGGACTAATGAATAATATGATACATAATACACTGGCTGGTTTATGAAGGTCATAAACATTGACTAAATACACACATAAAATGGTTAGTAGTAGACATCAACTATCCATAGACTTATAAATTCTATGTATCTTGAACTCTTTTCTAATAAATATGTCTTTACTTTTTATTTTAAAATATTTTTCAAATAAAAATTGAATATATTTTGAATTCTTAATATGTACTATTTTTCTTAGAGGCTTTTAGGTATATACAGACTTAAGTTATAATTACCCAGTAGCCAGGCCAATCTATGGCTTGGTGATGGGAGTGACTAGATCATGGCTGACTCTGTGTAATTGGAGTCCTGGATCCAGCAGCTTGAAAAACATGCCAGGCACATGTGTGTATGCATGCCCAGATTCTGGCAAGGAGAGAGAAAAGGAGAAGGGGATTGAGGCTAGAGCACACCTCATGGAGATACTTTCCTTCTTTCTCTCTCTTCCTGGTAAAAAAGAAAAGAAAAAAAGAAAGAAAAAATTTACCCAATGGCCTTTAATAAAGAAAGGGGCTGGGACCAGCAGATGGTATAATGCTATGTTGCTGGACTCCCATGTAGTCGACTGCGGTTCGAGTCCTGGACCTGATGGCTTAAACTCACGCTGAGAGTGTGTGTCCAAAATCCCGAGAGGAGAATGGAGGAGAAGGGATTATGGCGTGGCTATCCCCCGTGGGGGGTGATTTCTCACTTTTCTGTCTCTCTCTGTCTTTTTTGTGGGGGGCGAGCTTTCCCTTAAAAAAAAACCTCCAAAAAAAAAAAAAAAAAAAAAGAAAGGGTCCACTAGGTGGCATGGTAGTTAAGGCACTGCATTCTCACATGGCTGACTATGGTTTGAGTCCCGGAACTGGTGGCTTTAAATTCATGCCGGACATGTGTGTGTGTGTTCCCAAAATTCCAGGAGGAGAGTGGAGAAGGGATTGCGGTGTGGCCAATCCCTCTGGAGAATGATTTGTCACTTTCCCTCTCACTGTCTTTCTCTGTCTCTTTGGTGAGTGCACATGTCCTATAGCAAAAACCTCGAATGAACAAAAAACAAGTAAGAAAGAATAGACTAAACATAAATATATTTTAAAAGTTTCTAGAGTTCAACATCTGTAGTCTTGATGTGTTTATAGCTTTCAGTTTTCCATGTGTACAGATGCTTTGGGAATAAGCATAGTATTTTATTCATCTTCATATTTTCCCTAACACCTAGTAAGTCCTTATATACATACATTTTCAATAAATATCTATGAAAAATTGAAAAAATTAAATATGATTGGTGTATGTTAACTACTTAGACTTTTGATACATTTTGTGGCATTCTTCATAGTTGAGTTTTGTTTTGTTCTTGTATTTTGCTAGAATTTCGGCTTAATGAGGTTTGGGCAATGGTATTTCATCCTTATGACTGAAAATGCTTTCTTTAGGTTTAGTTAGTAGTACTTTATGGGCATTATTATTTTTCCACCTAGATAAGAAACTCCATGAAAGTAAGGACACTTCTGTCACTTTTTGTTGTATCCACTACAACTCTTAGACAAGAACTTGTTGGGTACCTATAAAGATATGGAAAAAAGTGACCATTAAATGATTTTTTGTAGTTGTTTTTTTGCCACAGGGTGCATGAGTTGTCTGGAGAGAAACAGAGAGAAAGAGAGAGGGAAAGTGAGAAATCACCCTTCAGGAAAGGAGGACTACATCACAATCCCTTGTCCATTTTTCTCTTGGGATTTTGAGCACACATGCACATGTGCCTGGTGTGATTTTTCAAGCTGCTGGGTCAGGGACTCGAACTGATTGGCCATGTGGGAGTCCAGCACCATAACCACAATACCACTTGTTGGCCCCAAACATTAGACGAGTTTGCCAACCAAGAGCAGAGGAAGTGAGTAGAGGGGGAGAGTCCTGGAATTATTCAATACAGCTATTCAGTACAACTTTTTGCAGTGGTAGAAACACTTTATATCTGCACTGTGGCCATTTGTCATCTGTGACTTGATAGGTCTAAATTTAAATTTAAAATTTATTCTTTTAGTCACAGTAGCCACATTTTAAGTATTCAGGAGCTACTGAGTATGGCTAGTGGCTGCCTTCTTGGATAGCACAGACAAAACGGTTTCGTCATTGCAGAACATTCTTTCAGAAAGCTCTGGTCTAAAAGTGTTATAGTCTGTTTGGACTGCTATAATAAGTACTATAGACAGAGCGACTTATAAACAACAGAAATTTATTTCTCACTGTTCTTGGAGGTTGAAAGTCAAGATAAAGGTGCTGGCGCATTTGGTGTAAGGTGAAGGCTGCTTTCTGTTTCACAGATGATGCTTCTTCCTGTGTTCTCTCATGGTGAAAAGGGACATGGTAGATCTCTGTAGTCTCTTTTTCTAAGGACACTAATCCTATTAATGAGGGCTCTGGCCCCAAGACCCTGTTACCTCTAAATACCATCACATTGGTGATTAAACTTAAGCATATGAATTTTGGAAGAACACAAACAGACCACACAGTAAAGGAAAGGATGTCAGGGATTGGGTCATAGTGATGAAAGAAGAGGCTGTTTCTACAGCATCATCAAGGGCAGGATTTACAATCAAAACAGTCTCCACTCTTGGAACATATGCATTCACAGCTGAATTTTAGTTTTTCTTTACAGCGTATGGGGGACTGACTATGTTCTAGAACTCCTTTCATTCTCTTCCAGTAGACTGGGTAGTGTTGGCTGCCTTGAAAACATGCCAATGATATTTGCTTGTGGGAAGATAGTGAGAGCCACTCTTGTTTGAGAATGTTTTAAAGTATATACTTAGCCTGGCCAGATTGCTTTTTAAAAATAAACTTGGAGTTTATGGACTTATGAGGTATAGTTTATAACTCCACAAGCCATGTGATTTATGGACTTTGGAGATACAGCTTATAAACTTTCCAATCTGTGTGATTAATGGAATATAAAAATTGAGACGCCCAAACCCAAATGATTTCTACTGAGCTAACATGTACCATATACCTTGTTAGTACTCATCTTTTACTCCAGAACTATTGAGAGAAAACTGGTGATTAGAAAGCTGTACAGGAGGCCAGCCCCTGGCCTGGTGGATAAGGCAGCTGGATTCTACATGGCCAACCACGTCATTAGAGTCCTGGCCCCAGTAGGCTGAAAGACATGCCGGGTTCATGAGAGAACTTGCTCAGGATCTTGAAGGGAGAAACAAAGGAGAAGGGATTGTGGCATGACCATTCACCATGGGGGAGTGCTTTCTTGTTTTAATCTCTCCCTTTATCTCTCCAGCAAGAGCATGCATCCTCTGGCATATTAGGGAGAAAAAAGAAAAGCTATATCTGATGGTCCAGGGCCTCTCTCATTAGGAAAGCCATATGCATATCTGTTTTTTCTTGTATTTAAAAAAAAATTGTTTTAATTGCAAGAGGGTGTGTGTACTTGCCAGCAAAAGAGAAGAAAGAGAAGTGCTCCCCAGTGGATGGTGGTCACACCATAATTTCTCCTCTTCTGTTTCTCCAGCTTTTTGGAATTTTGGACACACATGTACATGTTTCTGATAGGAGCCAGGATTTGAACTATGGTTGACCATGTGGGATCTGGTCCCCCTTACCACTGGGCAGGGGCAGCCTCGTATCCTTTGTTAATCATTGGTTACATTGGGCTGGGGCAGGAACTAATGATTAGTGTTAAGTTGGCTTTAATAATCAAAGCTTGTATTCACGTAGTTTACCACCTACTTTTAGATGTTACTGAAAAGTTATAACTTTCATTTATCAGGTCAAGTAATTTTTTTAATGTGTGCTGTAGATAACCCTGGGCTTCTTTCCTAAGAAAGAAAACACATATCATCAGAGGAAGGGGTATCTTTGCTCTTGTGAGTCTAGACAGGAGTATTTGCTAAGCACTTTTCCAAATAAGCAAACATTGCTTTGGCTTTTTTTTATTATTTATCTTTGCACTTTTGTTTTTTGGTGTCACTGTAAATCTTTTTTTTTTTTCTTTCTTTCTTAATTGTTTCTTTTTAAATTTTTTTCTTAATTTATTTTCCACAAACATTTACTTTACATATCAATAAATTTTAATGCATATTCCATAGTTCTTGAAAGTTAATAAACAACTTTCAAAATTTCAAAATATCTTATAATTTTGTATGTGACTCTATAATAACAGAAACAGTATAGTTTTAAATATTTTTGAGAAAATATTTACATGTCAACTACTCAAATTGTTGAAAAGCAAATGCCCAGCACACTAGTCACACATAAACCTCAATTCATCCCTGCCCAAGTGTATGCTGTGATATACCATCTGCTAGCAAAGATTAGTCTCTTTTTCTTCCTTCAAAATCTTTCTCAAGATAATTCTCTGGTGTGGTTGCTCTTTTGCAATCTCTACTGATTACAATGCTGGGCTGGAAAAGTCCAGGTTATTTTATGTTATAAGTTCTTTCATATATCTTCTCTAATCCTCTAATCCTCTCTGCCAGGCAGAACTATTTATGGTACCAGGCCCTCTCTCTAAGAGCTTCTGTTAGCTTAATTGAGATCCACCTTAGTTCCATAGTTTTCTAATTAATCTTCAGATATGACATTCCAGT